CTGGCGGTGCAGGGTTGTTTTGACGGCTTTGTGGAAACTCCTGGGCGACTGTATTTTGTGTTCTAGCATCCGAATCAAAAACTTTAAAAGCCCTTTATGTCTTTTTCCTGCAAAACAAGAAGAGTTCTTTGGCGCCCTAATATTCAATTCATCAGACTTCTCTATACATAGTCAAAATAAACTGAAAATCATTAAAAACTTAGCCCCTGTAAACAGAATCACAGGAGCAGACTCTCACATACACTTCAAGGATTCAACTAAGTGAATGTTGCAATGTAATGCAAGTGATTTCTGGAAGCCAGCAGCCTGCACAGTGTTCTGTGCTCCCATTAGCATTATTAGATATGTTGGACAAAGCAACATCTCTCACAGTTAGGAGCTTAGAAAATTCTTGGAGCTTCTGAAACTTCAGGAGCTATTTGAATAATAAAAATAGCTACCACGTGTATATCCATTTCAACATCTGATGACATCTGTGTAACATTTTTCTAAAGACATTAACATTTAAATCAAACAATGATAATTGATTTATAACTTTAAATCTGGGGTTAAAGTGAGTGTGTAATATGCAATTTATTTTTATTTATTTACTTAATTTCTGTATTTTAGGGAAAGGTCTACAGGATACTCAGGGTCTCACTACTAGATCGCACTCAGAGTGATCCGCTCTTTACAGCCTCCGAAGAGCTGGGGTTACAGGCGTGTGCCACCACACCCAGTCTCCATTGCTGTCTCAGCTCGCCCCAGGGGCGGGGCGTCAAGGCAGGCCCGGGGATCACTCCCAGGCCCCTGTGCCTGCTTGAAGGTGCTTTAATCAGCTGAGCTATTTGGCTGGCCCTTTAGCACGTAATTTAAATAAAGGGAAAAGCTACTAGTTTTACCTCATTAAAGATGTTTTCCTTAATTTACCTCATTTCTACTGTGCTAAATCACAGGAAATCTGCCAGTGCAGTTCACAGATGCCATAATCAACCTAAACATTTATCACGTAACTTAGAGGACACTGATGTGTAGTGACTTTCCAAAGGAAGGAGTTTATGTTAGCCTAATTGTGGGGAGCCTTC